GTAACAGGAGATACAACCCTCGCCAGCCGACAATAAACCACTCACCGAAGTCGGGATAAACGTTCGGTGGCCACTTGCGGCCGAATCGCCCTACCACCGCGATCGAGTTGAGCTCTGTACGGTTGGTAACCACGCTCTTCTTCCCATCTCGTTTTTCCCCGGAAACACCCCCACCCCCCGGGTCCAAGCAATCCGCGATGAGCCCAATGGCATGATCCCTGATACTAGGAGGAGGAGGAGGAGGAGGAGGAGGAGGAGGAGTGGGAGTCGTCGCAGGATAAGCGTCGCGGCTTACCCCCGGCCGCCAACCCAAAGAAGAAAGGCCGGGGTAGGCTCGCTCTTCGCGGAAAACCTCCTGCGAAGGTGCCGCAACGTGTCATGGAGTTGGAGTCATCGTCTGAAGACGATGTCTTCGAGATCCAGCCGGTTCGAAGGAAGGGGTCAACGCGACGCGCAGTTCGTGAGTCGTCGGTGGAGTCGGTGGAGGCCATGGAGGCGCCAATCGCAGCGAAGAAGAGTCAACGAAAGCAGGGCGGGAAGAACAAAACCGCTACGGCAAGGCCGGGCGCCCCGGTGAAAAAACCGCGGGGGAAGTCAACGAACAAAGTCAACGACTCTTCGCACGACTCTTCGCGAAAGGCGTCCGCCACGGCCCCCAAAAAATGGGGGGTGGCGGCTGGGAATAGCCCTGCCGCCACGGGTGCGAATGCGAGTGGGAAACCCCAGAAGAAGAAACGCACCAAACTTCCTCGAGCGAAAGAGTCAGAAGCAGAAAAAGAGGCGAGGGAGAGGGCGACGGAGGAACTGAAGGAAAGAAAGGCCCGCAAGTGGGGCACTTTTATTGAGGCGCGGGGAGTCGTGGAACAAGGCCAGGCCGAGCGGGCAGACAAGAGGAAACAAAACGACCGCTCCCTGCAGGTGATCAAAAGTATAGCAGCACGAGTGTTATGGGACTATGACAGCGTTGCTCTTATAAATGGTCCGCCTCCGCATCGCCACCCACCTCGTCCTGCAGCGTGTACTTTTTCCTCCCGGCTGCCTAACCCACGGCCCATCCCAAAGCATCTGTCTTAACCATTTACACCGCCTGTCTATCCGGGTCGCAGTAGATGTAAGACCATCACTGCGCCCTTATGTCGTTACTACGAAAGGATGTGGACGTCCGTCTGTTGCGAATGTGCGTAGTTTCATGTCGCCCCTACCTTCAAACATGCTGCACCAGGGCGCTGTCAGCGAAAGAAATCGGAGTCGTCCAAAGCTGGAGAGCCCGGGAATGCGTCAGCGGGCAGGGCCGCGGACGGCCACCTCTTTGACCGTGAGGAGAAACACCTCCGGGACAGCCGTGGGCGACAGAGAGTACATGAGGGAAACCACTACGCCAGCGCTCGCCCTCCGTCAGTGTGGTACGGAGGTTCGTCAGCACATCGACCTTGGTCTCCCAGCCGATACGAAGACCTTCGCCGGGGACGAAGCTCAAGCAGAGGCCGTAACCGCAGCCGGTCGAGGCACGGAGGCGGTAGTGGCTGGGGCGGTGACATGCGCAACCTACGATCGCCCTCTCGATCGAACCAGAGTTACTACCCCGGTGGTGGTCACGTCTACGGCTCCAGGCGCGGTTCAAGGAGCCGCGAACGGTCTGGGTACTCACCGTCAGGTTCACGAACTTATTCTAGCCTAGAACAGCAAAGCCGCCGGGATTATCGTCAGCACTCGCCCCAACCGGGCTACTACGGTCACCACGGGCCCTACCAACACCAGCACTACGACAGTCGCGAGCGCCTACCTTACCATCGCTCCTCCGAAAGCTGCGCGCGGCACGAGCGGTACCGTGTGGAGCGTTCGCGGAGCCGCGAGCGTCGCCATGGGAGATATGGTTCCCGAGACAACCATTCGCCGCACGGCGACGGTGGCGCGACATATTACCCGTCACACTCATCTGCCGCACAGCGTCGCCAGCGTAGTCCTAGTCGTGCACACGGCCGCTCCGATTCCGCCCGCGAGGGCAGTGGCACCTGCGATCCCAGCCGCACCGGAAGTCGGCAACAGGGAACAACAGGAGGCTCTGTGGCGGGTCACAACGCCGACGACTACGAAGGTGGTGAGAGCACAGGTTACCGTCGTGGAATTATTTCATGCGCGGCGGGTGTTCCTCGTTCTTTTTTGGCATAGTGCATAGCTTCAAAGCATGGTCCTCCCGTCCCGACCGTGTGTAGCGTGGACCGAGCATGGCCCATACTCTTCATCCACAGTCTTCCTGCATGTCGTCTGTAATTCGTACGTTATGCTTCTAAAGCAAGTGGTGTACGTAACCCTCATATACACACGCCCTTCCCGAACATCCGCATCAACGAACGATGCTGTCGGCAGATGAACCTGTGGCGAGGCTGGCATCGGCGCATGCGAAATTCGTGCACAACAGGTCCCAGACCGTAGGAGGTTTGCGAGAGTTGGTGGACGCGGCGCTCGAGATGGAAAGCTCTCGGGGTGGCAAGGCACGGCGCTTCCCTACGAGCATTTACAGGATGCTAGGGGTGTCCACCACGAACATGGGCAGGTACTTGTAGCGATCTGTTGACCGGGTGACGTAATTGATTGTAGTTCCGGCAACACATGGGCACACTATTTCAACGTTCTGCGCGAGAGGCTACGTCCTCGAAACCACGACACGTTTCCCTTTTGTTTCTTAGGCCCTGCTGCCGTATCCTTGGTCCCTCCCCTTCGCTAACGTTCCCGACGTGTGGCATGATCGCGACATGCTTTGGTCCTTCCCCACCCTACATATGCAGGTGGAAGGAGGAGCTCGAAAGATTCGCGGGTTACGACGACTCATATACGTTGGATAATGCCAGGAGTGGGAAGGGAGGCAACAACGTCAACCAGAAAAAAACCAAAAAATAGGAGAGGGTGACGAATCCTTCCCGCGTGAGGTCTGGGTACACGAGGTGTAACGTGGCAGGCTTGTCTCTGTATTTGGTCCGTGCAAGTCTTGCTTCCTCGAGACGGATGTTGTCGGGAGCGTGCACACCGGGGATGTGTGTTCGCTTCGTGGCGAGCGATGTCGCTTAGCGTCGCGTTCGTAGGGCTTGTCGCTCTATGATAGTTCTGTACGTTGTGCGGGATTGTTTTCCATCTGGAGCTAAGTCTGTGCATTCGCACACGGAGTGCATGCCTTGAAGGTTGTCGAGTACACGGCCGGCCTATTACAGGTCCAAAACCGACCGACTCCACTTGAGTTCGGTATGCTACGGCTATGTAAGTTGTGGAATAGGTAACCTCGGCGCCGCAACACACCGTCTTCGGCCGAGACGGCGGAAGACGGCAGCATTCCTAAACCACGGTGGCTTCGCCACCCGCGATGCTGAGATCGTTTTCCTTGCCGTTTCGTTTGTTGCCTTTCCACTGACGTTTCGTTTGGGTGAACAACCTCTATATTTGATTGTTTTCGTGTTTGCATGGGTGTCTGTGTGGGGGGGGGCAGAGAGGGGCTGGTACCAGGGCCTGTAGCCGGGTCGGGGGACGGATCCTTGTCGTTTATTCCATATAGTCGTTGGGGATGCGTTCCTGCATGGGGGATAGTTGGCAGCACGTTTTATTTGTGTTCGACTTGTTTTTCGCTGTTGTAGCGGCGGTAGTTAATGGTGTGTGTTCTTGGTTGTTTTGGGGGGACCACGGGTCGCGTGCGCCGAGTAGCATGCGTAATGGACCATGCACGTCGGTATGTCTGTACCAGTTACGGGTGTGGCCTTCGGGTCCCCCTTTCCGACTGCGCGTTCTCGGAGGTCCTTCAACTCGGAGTTTGAGCGTCACAGTCCAATCTTGTCGTCGGTTGGCGTAGTACTGATGTACCAATCTATGGTCAATCCCCAGCACTTCGCATGTGGCATTGGGACCGTTTGGTTTGGGGATTTCCTATGGTTTTCGTTGAGACGGGGTTTGAGTTTTTTTCAGCTTTCTGTTTCTTTTCCTGGGTGAGCCGTGATGGCGAGAGATGGGCAACCGTGTAAAGTGGAGGGGCTGTTGGTGGTGTCATTACACGACACCGATGTCCCTATCATGCCCTGGTCATGCATGTGGATGAATGCGTGTGGGGGGGGTTTCACCCGGCAAGGGTTCCCCCTCTAGTAATGAATACAAGATGAAGTCCCAACTAACTGGCTGGCGTACCTTTCGTCTATTCGGCGGACTTCATTCGCTCGAAACACGTTGTTGCTGTAACGTCCTGTTGTTTGTCGTACATGGACGAAATCGTTAAACGAAGAAATGCAGCAAGCGCCCCCGTGCACTAGTCCCAATATCTGCGTTGGGTGTGGTCACCACGTATTTCTTGTTATTTCTTTGACCAGTCAGTTTTCGTTCGCATAGCCAACGGTCGGGTCTCAGGCATAAGCCGATCTCAGCCCAAGCAGCGAGCCTAGTCGTGGCCCAACATCTAGCGCTTGCCGTGGCGCGTTAACCGAGGTCTGCGCGCTGTTCACCACGTGGTGGTGATGGACATCGTGGCGGAGGCAATACCTCGTCGTCGTCGAAGGTCAATTTATTTCGTCGTGATCGTCAACCTCCACACCATTTGTCCACCTCTGCAGCGACTGCCAGCAAATTACTTGGCTATAGGGATCGCTTGTCCGAGTCGGGGGTGTCCCGGGCGTGAAAACGAGCATCTCGGGGGAGGCTATCCGCTGCAAAATACATAGGCACGCTAGATTGTTTGCGCACAAACATGATCATGTCGACCTCTGCGACATCGTGGTTACAGCAACGGCGAACCTCTTCAAACACCCTTAGTGGAACGCACCCAGCACTGCCCACTGACTGCAGTGCGCGCTTCTACTTACAACAGCACACACACCTACGGAGAATGTCGTCGATATGCCGACCACAACCCTCCTGGAATCCGGGCCACGATCGGGGTGACGTTTTCTTCAGAAGGGCAGAGCCGGGTGCCAAGCGCACGTCTCAACTAACCGCAGTGTGACGAACATGTATGCGCATTTTCCCGGAATCGCATATGAGCATGCTTCCGGGAAATCGATGACAACAAACCCGATGCTGTTGGCCTTCAACTCGGCGGCCAACCGTCGGAGGTCTGAAACGGTCCCGCCGTACTGCATCGCCGGAGGTTTGCGTACGTCTAGTTTGAAGAGCCGTACTACTCGGTCCATGTCATGGGCGCAAACTACTACTGCTCGTTTCGCAGGGCCGCGGTCTCCCCGATTCACAGACCGCATGGCACCGGCTGCCGGAAGGTATAAGGGCTTCTCGTCAACCTCGAGGGCGTCCACGTGAATGTGGGTGACACTACCGCGCCTCATGGCAAATGCCGTTACCTCGCTTCCCGCCCACAAAACTTCTCCTATCGACACCGGATTAGTGAGTTCGCCTCCCGTATTGTCAGTGCCGGCTGTGTCAGCTCTGTCAGGGTAGCACAAGGCTCCCATTCTGGTCTTGCGCACGATACCTGTTGCGGCGGCGCATTCTATCGTCTGATACGAACAAGCGTCCACCCTCTGGTTCTCCTGCACAACAGGCACCGTACACAAACACACGTTGATGGGGCGGGCCGTTCACGATACCATTAGCCCCACCGCGAACCTGCGCCAAGTGTGCTGTCTTACTCTTCAACCGGTTCCCCAATTTGCAATTGACCGTTTGTCCCTACCCTACCCCTAACCCACTACAGATACAGCTACAGCTACACTGACTAAACCTTGGCGTTCAAGGCTAGCTCACCTCGAAATTTTGAATCGTCCATGTCGTCTTGACACCGAAGGCATCTCTTAGCATGTTGTCCCCCACGTTCCCTTCGACCCAGCAGTCGACGAACTCCTCCGACAAGCTAAACATGGACGTTCCGCGCCTCATTCCAAGGTTCCCCAGCTTCGAGATGTGCTTCCCGACAGCTGCTTTACTAACAGCCCCCATTACAGACCGCGTGATATCTCCCTCAATAAGCACCGGAAAACCGGCCGTTAAGCATGCCCGGAACACGCGGTCGCTATGCCTTCGTCTCGCCTCGCCCTTGCTCCAGAAGGAGTCGCCATCGTCCTCTCTCCTACGAGCATTGTAGGGGGGGGCGTTGTCTCTTGAAAGGAATCCGTAAAAGAGACCATTGTCAATACCCCCAGACCCGTCACCGAAGCTATCCGTGCCATCTTTAAGTTCTCCCTTGTGCCACATGTCGACCAGGATGTCGCAAGTTTCCTTCGCCAGGGCTTGGCCATGTTGGCAGCGGAGGATGCGCGCCCTGACATCGTCGCGTCTCTCCTCGTTCGCTTCTTCCTCTGGACCCCGGGGCTGGGAAAGATGTGCAGGCACAGGACGTGTGGGGGTCCGGCGTATGGGTCTGCGCGTCAGATGCTCGCCGCCCGAAATCGATTCAGCAATGCTGATATGAAGAATAAAACAGGGCAGCCGTGGGGCCGTTCTGGCGTTGATAGACCGGGTGGAGTACCGGCTACGCACCTACGACAAACGCTGCCTGCTGTTCTACACCCGAACGGTGTCACGAGGTGTGCATGTTTGCGCGACGCGAAAATAGTACGAGCCCGCCGCGCGATTTGAGACGTGTTACGACCTCACGTTTCGCCGGGATACCATCGTCGACCCTGGGTTGGCGTTGCGGGGACAGGCATCTTCCGTCCACCTAATGACCAAGTCCCCCCGGCTCGTACCAGGAGGACG